AACTCAGTCGATAAATTTCTCGTCATACAAACTTGAGGACCTGACCTTAGCTCCCTGGCACTCACATGAAAAGCTAGGTGTGGCAACATGTTCCTGTAATCCCAGCATTGGGGAGGTAGAGACAAGGGGATCCCTGGGACTCACTGGCCAGTCAACCTAGCTGAGTCAGTAAGTTCCTCATTCAGTGAGAGTCCTTGTCTCAAAAGAATAAGGGGGCTAGTGATCACAGAAGACATCTATTGCTCACCTTGCCTTCATTCTTATACGTATGTGTACATCTACCTACATACATACACAAACATGCGTATACAGGCATGTAGCATGCACACATACAGCTTTATGGTTAGCTCACCAGTCTAACATCTTGGTTCCTGGGGACATTCTAAAGAGCTGAGCTGCCTATAGGGTTTAAATTCACACACACACACACACACACACACACACACACACACACACTCGCACACACACACACACACTCACACACTCACACACACACACTCACACACTCACATACTCACATACTCACACACACACACACACACACACACCACACACACACTGGGGGGGTAGTCATGAACCACCACACTGGTGCCGGCACAGAGAAGAACAACCAAGATTGCACATAGCAAGTGTTTCCAGCATGCTGTACCCGATGCCACTAATGGACACGACAACGCCAGGACGTTGGATAAAGTGCATAATGAAGCTGATCAGAATCAGCTGTAGTCGCCGTGGCAAAGCGGCTCAAGTAAAAGGCGGCGTCTCCCTCGGAACAGACTGGGTTAGAAATAGAAGAGATCAGCTCGGCTACAGCTTTGCCTTCTCCTGCTCTTCCTCCCATCCCCCTCTCCTCTCCTGTCGACTCCAGCCTACTGCCTACCTGTTCTTTCATATCCGCTTGGTCCTGTTACTGTGTGCCTGTGGGAGCATGGATATGTCATGGTGGAGACATGCAATAGAGAAGCCTCTTCGCCTCATGGCATCTGGAAAGCAAAGAGAAATAAAATGGCCCTGGCCCCATATACTCCTCAGGGCCATACCCCCAATGACCTAGCTTCATTCTAGTAGGCTCTATCACCTAGGCGTTCTATCACTAGGCCAGGGAACAAGACTTTAACACAGGGACCCATAACAAGACTATAGCTGGGGTCATCTGAAAGACCCCTGCCTTATTCTTCCCCCCCTTTCTCCTCCCCTCTCCCCCATCCTTCTCTTCTGTTGCTTCATTGTGATCTAAGCATAGAGCTCCTAAATGATTCAGACCAAGCATAGGCCAACGCCAACACAGTGCTGAGGATTGGAGATCATGGAGAAGATGGAAACAAACTCTGATTTCTGGGCCCAGCGGGCCCCCACTGGAGGGTCTGGGGAGACAGCCTATCTATGATCTCTCTGGCTGGGAGATTTACCTGAGCCAGCCCATCAGAGAGTCTGGTTTCCATGCTGAGATCTGTTTGCTTGGCCAGCAGCAGTGGGAGTTAATATTTCTCTGTGTGTGTTTAGGAATTAATTTCTACTAAACTTAATCACCCCCTCTCCCCTTCCCTCTCACTCACCGCCTTCCTTCTCCATTCCTTCCCCTTCTAATTTTCCACTTGGCTGGGAATTCTCCAGCAGTGAAAGTTCAGGCTTAGGGGAGGGCGAGGGTAACTGCTTCATTAGAGAGGATAATCTCATTGGAACCACTGGCTTGAATAATAACCCCTTGCAGGGGCCCGGGGCCTTTCTCCCTAGAGCTGTTAGACCCTCTGATCTAGGGCTGGAGGAGCCCAGGGCACAGGAAGAGGAATGAGAAAGGGAAGAGGGACAGCTCAGGAAGGAAGACCTTTACTCACGGGGCTGAGTTTCCTTGGGGCCTGCTGGTCGCCTGCACATCTGTATGTGAGGCGGAGGCCGCCGTGGGGATGGACAACAGAGACAAATGCCTGAAAACTCATGCATTTTGTGAGGCTACATAAGCACCAGCTCCCCCTATCTGGAGATACTGAAGAGGCAGTAGAGGCCATCATCCCATCACATTTAAGGTCAATTGTCTGTGTCTTTGGACATTTGTCGCTCCACCCTCCTGAACCATGCACAGTGGTAGAAATGCCAAAAACATCCCTGGTCCTGACCTTAAACTTGACTTTCCACTGAGACAGAGCTCAGTTCTCAATACGCTTTGATAGCCGTTAATGAAGCTACAACCTATAGCATGCCTTCATGCCCCTGTCCTTCCTGGTGCTGACCCTCCCTCCTCCTTCAGTGAGGAAAACTGCTGCAGCCTTGCCTCTTCCCTTTGATGTGCCAAGGAGCCAGTCTGCATCAGCTGCAGTGCAGAGCCACAGAAAGAAGAAGTTAATGGGTTAACAAACCCAGCTCACACCTGTTGATAACCCTCTCTACGCTATGCACAGTTCTAACTACTTAGAGCACACCAGCTCATGTAATTTTCAGGAAACTCTAGCTGCCTGAGCCCATTTTGTTCCCATTTTATAGAAGAAAAGACAGAAGCACCAAGAAGTTAAACATTTGACCCTGATGCTCAAAGCCATAAATTATACATGTCTCCTATCCTCTGTGCTTATAAAACTGTGGTGAGATGCAGCCCTAGGAATCTGGGTAGCAGCAAGCAATGCAGGTCACAATTGTCCCCACCCAGCTACCTGTGCCTCCTGCTACCTGGGAGAGAGAGAGAGCTCATCTGTTCTACTTAGTGACTTCCAGTGGCCTGAAGCTGGCCTGAAAGCAGCTTCACCCACCCTGCCAACACACCCTTCATAATTTAATCAAAGACGCTCTTTTCAGACCTACTGATTGCTCTTGGATACAGGAACTTCAAAGTTGGGGAGTCTGTGAATAATTGAAGCCGTACCAGTTCTCTAGGTCTGCTGTTAATGGGCGTAATAACACTATTAATAGCGATGTCAGCTCAGACACTCTGGAAAAGTCCATAACATTAGTCTAATGGCTGAAGGTAATGGAGTCCTTGCCGGGGAGCTGGCCTGGTAAATTAACTCCCAAGACTTAGAGGCAGACACTCTTGTTGCCAGTGGTTTGCCCGAGTCGCCAGAGAATTCTGTGGGGACCCCCCCAGACTCACTCCTGACCTTTCCCTCCTGGCTGGGGGCCCTTTGAATCCATCCCAGAGAGTTCGGGTTTGTCCAACAACTGTGGATGATAGTCAGATGCTTTCTGCTGAGTCTAGAAGGAGAGACAATGTTTAAGAAGCATTAAGGATGAAAGAGAAGCATTAAAACTGAAAGGCACCTGGGTTAGTCTGCAAGGGGGTCTGCTCCCTTACTTCTTAATCCAGAAGCTTCTGGAAGCTTGTAAAGAGCAGAGGTTCTAAGTTTGCCTGGGCTGGATATGGCCTTGAATTAGCTGGGACTGGGATGAAGAAATAACCCACTCATTGTCTCCTGTGGTTTCCTGACCTCCAAGATGGCTTGGCCACAGAAAACGGTGCAATGCAAAGCCTTGTCACATTGCTATAAGCTACACAGTAATTAGTGGTCACAATCGCATTATGTAGAGTTGGGTTGACTTTTGTGTCACCCATCCAACTGACTGCAAGGCCCTCCTTCTGCCTCAGCCTCCCTTGCCCCAGCCCTTCCCTCCAGGGCAGCTTAGGCTGTCACCTTCAGTGCTTTCCCCTTACTTAGTGAGACTCTCTAGCTCTGCACTCTGAGGCCATCCCTCCAACAACTGTGGCTAACTTTGTCTCCTTTTGCTCTGACTAGAGGACAGGTCACAGCTTTCTTCTAGGACGAAGTTGACCCACAAGCCACCCAAGATACCCTGACACCTTGCCCTCCCTCCCTTCCCTGCCCTACCCCTTACCTGCCTGCCTTTCCAGAAGAAAGTTCTCCTCCCCATGCTATTCCTTGCCCCTTGCTCTTGTCTCCTTCTGTCACTTTGCCCAGTCCTCTCTCAACAGCTCTGGATGTCACCGGAGTGATTTCCCTGCAGTCCCATCTCATGTCAGCTTGTCCCCTGGAACCTCACCCACGTGCACTATCCAGTAAAGGCCGTATTCCAGAGTGTCCACATCCTGGCTGCTGGGCACAGCTCCATATTTGTAAGGTTTCTCTGACTCGGGTTTCGTTCTATTCCCTGAGTGTCAGATAGCTTCACGCGGTGAACTTGGGGGTGTGCACAGCTGGGCACAAACCCTGCTTGTATGTGCATCGCTCTCAAGGGCGATGACTGTTAAGGGCCCAGGCCACACTGGATGTGGTGCCCCGGGAACAGAGCACACTTTGAACAACACAAGGGCATTAAGCAGTGACAGAAACACTTACGCAGCAGTTCCCCAGTGCCGCAGATGCTATTAGCTACTATTTTCTGTCCCTTTGATCCCCCCCTCTCTCTCCCCTACCTGCATTTATCTCCATTGCTAGAATGTATTCAGGGGATTACAAAAGAAACTGGACAGTGTTTCTTCTCTTGGGAAGCACCCATTTGGTAGGAAAGGGCTACTTTCAGCACAATAATCGTCATAAAACAAGAAGTTCTAGACTGTGAGAAACTCCAGGGTGATATGGGGGAAAGAAGAAGGAATTTCATATCTGCCTGCAATCAGGGTGGGTGGGGTTGTGGGTACAAAAGGGTTAAGCTGGTCTGTAGGTCTACATGGAATTGGACAGGTAAAAAGGCATGGGGGTGCAGACAGACGGGGTGCACGAAGGTGAATATCATGTTCTATACACATATATGGGAGAAGGGAGGCTCGCACAGCAGGGATACAGGGCGTCAGATGGACAAAAAGAAGACTGGACAAGGCTGTGTGAGCACTCGTGGGACCTGGAGGGAGTGAGGAGAGTTGCTACCTTTCCCAAAGCTGAGCATGATAGACGCGGGAAGAATATGATAGAAGCTTGAAGATGGAAGCGAGATGAGCGCTTTAGGGTCACAGGGACCCAGAGATGAGCACTTTAGGTTCACAGAGACCCCGAGATCTTCTGCTGGCTATGCCGTCTCTTTCTGTGTCAATTGATGGTCATGGTTCTCCTTCCCAGGTGCACCCGTAAGGAACGGTGTGAGCGCTCCAGGGAGCCCCGAAGGTTTGCCTCAGAGATGAAGCAGTGTGTCCGGCTGACAGTCCATCCCAACAACATCTCTGTCTCTCAGTACAATGTGCTGGTAAGGGACAGGGCAGGGTTAGAATCCAGGGAAGGACTCTCCCCCAGCAGAAAGCACCGAGGCCTCTTAGGAGCAGCTCTAGGTCGGGGTCAGGGTTGTTAGTGAAGAAATATCTCCTGGGAACCCAAGCAAGGTGGCATTGGCAAGAATATTGAAGAAAAGGTCCTGCTCCTAAGGACAAGGAAATGACCATATCAAAGGTGATCAAGAAATACAAATTAAGGCAACACGGAGATTCCATCTCACTTCAGTCAGAATGGCGTCATTAAGAAGGCAAAATGCTGATAGAAATTTAAACTAGTCTAGGCACTGTGGAAATCAAGGCAGAGGTTCCTCAAAAAACCATATGACCCAGATATAATACTCATTCCTGGCTATGAGATACTTGAACATTGATATTTTCAGTCATAAAGAAGAGCAAATCCATGTCATTTGCAGAAAAATGGGTGCCACAAGATCATACTGTTAACAGGATTTAAATCTGTCTCAGAAAGATAGATACCATGTTTTCTCTCATTTGTGGGTCCTAGATTTTGTAGAGACTTAAAATCATATATTTATATACGGTATAAAAGTAGAAACTGTAAAAAGAGGGGAAAGGTGACTAACTGGAGAGTGAGTGTTGGAAAAGGGGAGAGTGGTAGAGCATGGGGCAATATACTCCAGATATATATTTGTGGGAAAATAGCATTATATTACCAGCATAATAAATAGTGTAATACTTTATTATAATCCAAAATATGCCATGGGTATACCTAAATATCCTATAGAAAATCTCAAATAAATTAGCATGCAAATAAACATAGAATAATTAGAATAAGACCATGTAGCAATGGGTGTCAGGAATGATGCCTTTATCTCTAAAGGGGGTCAATGTAGGTACATTGGGAGAATGATTTACAGACTCCCGGTTCTAGCACTGGGTGTGTGGTCATTAGTTTTCTTATTCTACCAAACGGAAGAGGTGGCCCATCAGCCAACCCGGTCCTGCTCAGAATTCGTCCAGCATACAAATCCCTGAAGCATTCCCACTTTCTGGGGCCAAATCTACACCACTCTATAGCAAACTGATCCATGTTAATAATTCTCCTTTGTCTGTCTCTCTCTCCTCCTGCTGCCTTCCTTCCCTTCTTCCCCCATTCCCCCCTCCCCTCCTCTTTCCCCCTGCCTGGCTGGGCTGTTCACAGCTGGTCCTAGAGACATACAATGTCCCGGAGCTGTCAGCAGGTGTCAACTGCACCTTTGAGGATCTGTCAGAGATGGATGGGCTGGTAATAGGCAATCAGATCCAATGCTACTCCCCTGCAGCCAAGGAGGTGCCCCGCATCATCACGGAAAATGGTGAGCAAGTGGTCCCAGGAGGCAAAGTTGGGTGGCAGACTCTTCATCGTGCCTGGGTAGCAGAGCTCATGACAGACGTGGGAGACTGAGGGAGCCTAGGGGCAGGGATAAGTCAGAGGGAGTGGGCTGATGGTTGAAAGGGGGTAAAGGTGAGATTTGCCTCTTTTACCCTTGGAGATTGAATGGTACAGCCCTTCTACCTCAGGCCCAGCTTAGCAACCAGACTTCTACCTCATACTAGATGAGGAGAAGCTACAGAGACGGCAGGAAGAGGCCAGGCCAGAACAGCAGTGGTGTATGATGGTGGTGTTCATGTGTTAGCTGGTCTGGGCAGACTGTGGAAGAGGGAAGTTAGCAAGGGTATGATGGGGCAGGTTCAATGGCTCCATGACCCTTTGTTCATAATCACATGACTGGGTCTCTGGCTCTAGGGCACTTTCTCCCAGTGTCCCCCACACAGCTGCCTGTTGCTTGTGACCAACTATATAGGGAAAGGATGTGAGTGGGCACAGGCTTGACACTGGTAAGGGACAGGCTGGCCTAGGTAGACAGATTCCGTGTTGTCCCTCCCACTTGGGCTTGTCACATTTATTCAGAGCTGATTGATGAATGAGGCTCTTGGGGAGGGCAGAGAACAAGGCTGGAAGTGGGGTCCAGGGTCAGGGCTGTGAATTAAACATGGGCTCCAATGCCTCTTTGGTGCCAGCTGAGGAGGAGTCTAATATTTCTGACCCCTACGGAGCCACACCTACAGAGAAGAGAGAATCAGGACTGGTCTCTATCACAAAGATGAGTGAGCTTGTGTGTGCACATGTTTACACATATATACAATGTCACTTGTGCCATTTGCAACAGCTTTCCTAGGATACTACATTTTTTTTCCTCCTTGGCTACTCATCACTGTGATTCTGGGAGGCTTTTAGACATAGCGTGTAAGGGTATGCGTGTGTGCGTGTGAGTGTGAGTGTTGGCTGGTGGGGGGGTGTCATGCTGGAATTGAACCTTGCTAACTCAGGGACCTCTGGAACCTGACAGTGTCCCAGAGGAGCAGGCTCTCTTTCCCTGCAAGCACTACAGCTGATGGGACTTTGGCTTGGGTTTTGAACTTCCCCTGGAGCCCATTGGTGTGCTCTGTCTTATAGGAGACCATCATGTTGTCCAGCTGCAACTCAAGTCAAAGGAGACCGGCATGACTTTTGCCAGTACCAGCTTTGTCTTCTACAACTGCAGTGTCCACAATTCGTGAGTGCCCTGGCTTCACTCCTCTCTGTCCCTAAGGTCAAGGTTCACACAGTGATCAGAAGAACCCACTATGATTTTAAGGAATCATTGTATGGAGGCTTCCAAAGAGGCCTCCTCAATGCTAGAGAATGGGCCTCTCTCCTGTACCAATAGGGTGAATGGAAAGAGACTAGACATAAACAAAAGTGAGAGCCTATGGTGTGAGCCCTGCAAATCCCTAGCCCATGCAGCCTCCCTGGCATAAATCTTCTAGCCTGTTTCCCTTCCCACCCTCCTACTAGGACAGCAGTTCACACCTACACAGAGGAGGGACCAGAGAAGGGAGGGCAGCCTTTGCATGTATCCAGGAGAGGTCCGGTGATCTAGCAAGTCAACTAAATGCCCCACCATATAAACTGGGTCAGGACCCATACAGGCTGATAAGTGCAAAAGGAAATTCAAGAGACACACAGTGACTGAGGACCTGCTATGGAGATATAGAAGCCTGACTCTGGCTTTGTTTGTCTTTGGCATCTCCCCCTCTAAATAGCAACCATGGGCAGCAGATTAGCCAGAGGACTTAACCACTCTGGGCTCTATTGTCCTCTATAAAAGGGGACACTAGCACCAAAGTATTTAGTGACTGGCATGTATCGGTTACTTTTCCAATTGCTGTGACGGAATACTTGCTGGAAGTTAGTGGCACACGCCTTTAATCCCAGCACTAGGGAGGCAGAGGCAGGTGGATCTCTGTGAGTTCAAGACCAGCCTGGTCTACAAGAGCTAGTTCCAGGACAGCCTCCAAAGCTACAGAGAAACCCTGCCTCGAAAAACCCAAAACAAAAACAAAACAATAAAGCAACTAAGAACATGTTTAATATCATTTATCTGGGTCAGGGTTTCATATGTAGCAGAGCAGCTTCCTCGCTGCGATCTACTGAAAGTCAGCCCTCGACACAGACTCTACTTCCTAATGCTCTCCTAATTAGCAAAGGACTGTGTCAACCAGTCGGGGGAGAGGGAGACTCAACAGGCCCTGGAGGAACAGGGTTCCAGTTGTGAGCTCATTCCCTGAGGTCTTGAGAGGAGAGGAAGGACATATTTGCATGGGGCCTTCCTCAGCTCGTCATTCAAGGGTCATTTCCCTCGATAGCAAAACGTTCTGCTAGAGTCTAGAGTCGTGGGTGCTTGGGCTGAAGTTCTAAGATGTGTGCTTCTTCTCTGTGCCCAGATGTCTGTCCTGCGTGGAGAGCCCATACCGCTGCCACTGGTGTAAATACCGGCATGTTTGCACCCACGACCCCAACACATGCTCCTTCCAGGAAGGCCGGGTGAAGATGCCAGAGGTAGGTCCCAGCAGTGGGATGGTGAGAAGCACTGCTTGTAAGCACAGCACACGTGCAGCCCTTCTCCTGAGAGGGAAGACCAGGAGAAGACCCAGGAATCTCTTCCTTCCCCCCTAACCTTGGCTCTCCAGGCACACTGTATGAAAGCAATGGGTGAGCTCAGCCCTGCATTGATGCTTTGGCTCCGGCTCAGCTGGGAGGGAGCTGTGTGTGTGAGTTTCCCGTGTGAGAGCCTTTCTTTAATATAAATGGAATTAACGTGAAGGGAATAGGAGAGACATGAGTCAGCCAGCCGGTGGGCCACCGTGGCATGAAAAGCTGGCAAAAGGCTGATAGTCTCATCTATGTGGCTGGATCTTGATCTTGAGGACAGGAGCAGAAGAGCAAATGTACTCCCTTGAAGGCAGGGGTCAAAGGCTCCGGGAAGCATCCGTCTGAAATCTGTCCGGAACATGACAGAAGTGAAAGTTAACTTTCAGGGTCGCTCCAGCTCTCAGAGTAGTGAACCTGACCAAGGACTGGGAACAGAAAGGTTCAAGACCAACAGGAGAGTGAAAGCAATGGACTTTATAGATTGCACACACCTCCCGCTGCTCCCTAACCTTGGAGAAGGCTTGCAATTTCTTCGTTTTCTCTCTCTTGCTTGTTTTCTTTCCTGTTCCTCTTGCAGCAAGGTTATTTTTGGTGCTTAGAGAGAAAGGTTAAAAGAACCAGAAGAAAGCAGAGGAAGAACTGCCAAGTTTCCCAGAAGAATGGTAGGATGTCTGTGAGAGTTCAGGGTACCCCATTTATGCCTGGCTTTGCCAGCTTCTGCTGGGAATCCATGGCCTCTCTGAGGATTGGATACCAGGGCTCCTGAGAAAGGGGCGGGCTTTGAGCAATATGGCTAATTACAAGGGCATGGAGACGGATCCCACTCTTTCAATTTTCAGTAAGCTGGGCATGGTGACCAGGGAGGCCACTGGAGTCCGGGACTCCAGCATCACTCAGAATCTTCCATTTCTCCCTATCATGCTATTGCATGCAATGAACTTTGGCTCTTCCTTGTCTTGGACTTTTGCTTATTCTAAAAGAAAGAGATTCTAAGAGTTTGCGTCTGGTCTGACTAAATCCCAGGGCCATTTTGAAGTGAGCACAGAGGGAGAGGCTAAGTTGATTACCTCATCTGGTTGCTGTGGCAACATCTTCCTAGTAGATGTACCAAATGGGAACTAAAGAAATAAACATTTGTGAGCTATGGATTAAATCTAACTATTTGGGTTCAGTGAGAGAAGGTCATTGTTTCCAGAACTCAAAACAGAACCCCTACCTCTAAGCATAAATTTAGCAATTTTTAATGCCTGTAGCTTTTTTGTTTGTTTTGTTTTTCTTCCTTTCTTTGTTTGTTTCCTGAAATAAACTATGGCAGTAATAAAGGATACAAAGGGGAAGTATGCAGCAGAAAGAGGGCTTTGTAGAACAAACAGTGTTGTTTTCTCTTATGCCAGAGAAGTTATTCACAGGCTAATCATCTGAGCTTCTGCTGTGGTGTTGGTCAGCTTTCTGATACTATTGCAAATGCCTAATATAAATCAGCTTAAAAAGAAGAAAGGTTAGGACAGAAAGACTTCAAAAGCCAAAGGGCTCAGAAGTCTGCTGTGAGACTGTCTCCTAGTAATGTCAGAAGTGTCACCCATAAAGTCTCACCAACATGATTGCCTAAACATGCGCTGAACAAGAACAATAGACATGCCAAAGTAGATGGGGATAAACCTACTAGTGAGGCCTCAACCCTGCACAAAGAACTACAGGCAACTAAGTGCTGAGTGTAGGAGAAATTGACTCTGCCCAGGAAGAACACACCCACTGCTTATCCACCCCTGAGAACACACATATGAGTAACATATTCAGACTGAGCAGGTTGTATTTGGGAAAATGTATATGTAACAACAATTAATGGGGGGGAAGTCATGAATTTAAAAGAGAGCAAGGAAGGGGTATATTTGAGAACTTGGGGGGGAAGGGGGAAGGAGAAATAATATAGTATAATCTCAAAAATAAAATAAAAGCAAAATGAAAAACAAACCAAAAAGAGCAAAGGTCTATTTTGGCTCACTGTTTTGGAGTTTCTAATCTATGGTTGGAAGGACCCTGTTCCTTTCAGACCTGCTGGGAGGCAGCTTACCTCATGATGGCCAAGAGGTGAGAAAAAAAAAAGAGAGAAATGGACCAAACTTCACCATTCACTTTAGGATACCCGCCGCCCCGCAATGACTTATGACTGTCCAATTAGCCCTCACTTTAAGTTCCCACTGCCAATGCCCCATAGCATCCTTCTGGGGAAATGAACCTTAAAATCATGGGCTGTAGTGGGGGCATTCCAATCCCCAAACTACAGCAGCTGTGATGTTACTATTATCTTACAATGCCCTAGAACCTTCTTGCCTAAGCTGCTGAGCCTTAAAGGTATAGAGGAGATCTTCAGATCTGCATCTGATACAATGCCTCTGGTCTACCCATCCTCTCTGTTTCTATGCTTGCACATAAACGCAAGCTGGAATACACTTGAGAGAAATCCACAGCCAATAACTCTTCTCACAGGGCAAGAGTGCACTGAGTGTTCTTGTGACGTGAGTACCCAGCCCATGTTCTGGCAAGGTGAATGTCCAGTCAAGGCTTAGAGATCCAAACAGAGTCTCACTGGGTGACTCACAGTCTTAGAGCCTGAAGTTCCACTAGACATAGGGGCCAAGACCCTCTTGGAGTGCTGGTAAGAGTCAGGCCACAAGGATTCTTCTGGAAGTCCTCAGGTTCTCACTCCCCTTTTCCCTGTGAGGCTGTGCAGATAGGGGCCCTTTGTTTGGCCCGTGGGGCTGCCAGGTGGCTTTTCATCTGGGCTGCTCCATCTTGTGTCCTCAGGAATGCTTTCATGTTGTCTCTCCCAGTTTCAACACTGGCTATCACCAGGGGTGTTGAATTACTTTTTCCCCCCTGAACAAAGAGCACGTTCAGGCGAAGTTACTGGTCTGGAATGGAGAACTGGTGGACCATTGTGGTTGTGTTATGAACAGCAAGTATTCGGGCATAATTACAATGATTAGAAATAGAATGCCCAGTAACATATGTCGTTTATAGTAACTATATCCCAGTTACAAGGGATGGTTTTGTTTCAACTAATGATGGCATTGTGATAACAATGTAGACCCTTAGATCAGCTGCCAGAGCCTGGGCAGCAAATACAAAGGGAGAGGAGAGGAGACATGAGGTGACAGCACGCTGGGGTGGCAGTGTCTCCCTGCTTGCTCTCAGTCCCTCTCCCAGTATCCGCAAGGCTTCCTGCATCTCCTGGATTGGCCTTTGGCTGGACAGCCATTAACAGGGCTGCAGGAGCCTCTGTCCTCCTGTGCACTGCACAGAGTTGCTGGCTCCTCCCCAACCTCACCTGAACAGATCCATCTGGCAACACACACTTGGTAACGATGATTGAGACGAACGGCTATAGAAAACAAATCCATTGGCAAGAGGTGGTCCCCAATGAGCTATTGCACTGTTGTTTTTCACCAGAGCTGAAAAATCGCAGTGAACCGCTACTGAAGCTGTGTTCTCCAGGCACCAAGCTAGGAAAGCGTGTGGGTGGCTCCTGGGGGAGCATTCTCAGACGGGAGGTTCCAGGTACGACTCTTCCTCTTGAAGTTCAAACAGCGTGCTTACTCCAGAGAGCAGCTGTCGTAGCAGAGGAGGAGAAAGGCATTCTATTTGCTCCTCAGTGGTGTACTTGAAAGGTTGTCCCTACATCCACTGCCACCTGATGCCACCAAAATGTCCTACACTTAGGACAGGTATGATGAAGTCTGGGTTCAGTCTAGAACTATAGAACCAGAAAGGAAACTGCTGCTTGTCCCTGGTGCTGAGTGAAATCCACCTTTAGAGATAAAGGCCAAAGGCATGTACCCAAGGCTTGACTTTGGAGAGAAATCAGCTCTCCCCATTAGTGATTCTGCTTTAATTCCAGCAGACAGCCATTCCTGGTACCCACCTCCACCTTGCCTTTAACCCTCCTTTGAGAAAACAGAGCCAAACCCAGCTCAAAAACTTGTTTCCAACCAATGCACACCTCCCCCTTTCAGGTATTCAATTACTACGCTGCCATTTCTCCAGACAACTGCACTTTCCATCAATCTCACCTGCCCCTCCCCCCGGGGGTTACGGGTATTTCCTTTCTGTATTATTACTTCGCTCTCTCCATAAACCAGCCAATCGTAGATCATGCTAATGGCATTATAAACTTGGGGAACAGCAAGAAAATATATGGTGCATTACATCTATGTATTGAGCATCAGGGGTCTGAGAAGGCTAGTATAAATTTGGGGAGTTGTTAGGGCTACTTGGGCAGGCTCCTGTTTTGAATTGTTGGGGGTGGGGCTGAAGTGGCATTGGGGGAGAAGAAGTGACCGACCTGCAAATCATGCTTTCCTTAGCCACTCTACATCTGCTGTCCCCTAGAGCTTTGCACTCTCCCAATTTCACTGTAAGAACTGGGTGAAACAGGGCTTTCATCTTGCAAATCCACCAGGGGCTGTAAATCTACAAGCCTGTCCCCCCCAGTCCCAGGCAGCCCCAGGCAGCCCCAGCCCTGAAGGCAGTGTTCTCTCTCCCAGCCCAGGAGCGCTCTTTATGTCCTTGTTCAATTATTTAAATACGCCAGGAAGCCTCTGCCCAAAGGAGCCACTGGGGAGCCAGACAAAGTGGATGGAGAGGCAGCTCCATGGCTTCCACACATCGGTTTTGCTCCCTGCACTGGGCACTCTACCCTCATCTGTGTGCATTTAAATGGAGACCACAATATACAAGGAGCCCGACTGCGGAGCCGGAGTCATCTGGATCCACCTCCAGAATTTCAAGCTATTAAACATTTGTTTATGCCTCCAGCCACTGTCCCTCCATATCTTCGGTCTATTCTTGCTACTGTAAAATGTAGCCACAGGGTGAAACAGCCTCCAAGGGAGACTGCTTGCATTCAA